TGTCTTATTTGTCGATTCTCGACCAAGATTTGTAGGGACTTGAGTAGAAGGTATAATCTTTTTCGTTTGGGTATCTTTTCCGCCATATATCCTCCAAGTTAGCTTCTTTTATTAAATCAAAAAATGGTTTTGGTAAGCAATTCTTTTTTTTCTTCCTAATTTGCTCCTTACTAGTGTAATCCTTTTCAATATCTACTATGGCGTTGAAATCCCCGACGAAGGATATGTTATCCTGTCCCATCTCCACTATTTTCTCGTAAAGCTTTTGGTAGAACACTTTTTGATTCACATTTGGTGCATATATTCCCACTAATAGTAATTGTTTTTGCAGTATATCCAATTGTATCATCAAAATTCTTCGCTGCTCTTCTGCATAAATTTGTTTTGCATTTATCCCTTTTCTAATATCCATAATTACCCCTTTTTTCTTTTGGTCTGCCAATGCTACGTATAATTCACCTAATTTAGGAAATTCCAGACATTTACTGTGGTTTTTTTGAATATGTACTTCTTGTAAGCATATGACATCAATGTTTTGTTTCACTAATTTCACCAGTGTTTGCTTTCTCTTAGCTGGGGAGTTCAGCCCATTAATATTGAAATTAATTTGATTTCTTCTTCCATCATGTTAGTTGTAAGTCTGTCTTAGTCTTCTATTAACTCTTGCTTCTCTCTGTGGCCCTGTTCTTAGTCCTTCTCTTGGTTGTTCTCTCTCTTCTTTATCTCCTCCTTCTTGTTCTTCTTCTAACACTTCCTGTTGTCGGTCTTCTTGTTGGTCCTCTTGGTTCTTACTCTCTAGTTCTTCTTTACTACTTGTTTCTTCTTCTATTCCTGCCAGTTGTTCGTATAATTTCTGTGCCTTCTCAATGGTATCAATTCTTTCCAAGTCACAAGCATTCCTTCTGGCACCAACCATCTAAACCAGATGTTTTGTTTGTTTAGGAATGATGCTAAGACTTTATATTCTTTCCTTAGGTCTCTCACTCACCTCGGGATCTGCTTTAGGGTCACAATTTCCTTATCTTTATAGATCATCGGCTCATCCTTCATCATCTTATATACAATATCTCTCACATTTTCCCTCACGAATCTTATATGAACCTCCCTTGGCAGTTTGTTTCACCTTGCATAGTTCGTATGGACCCTATAAACCTCATCCAATTCTCTTGTAATCTCTTTTTGGTCTTGCTCCAGTGCTTCCGCAATCAATCAGTTGCGCCATCATGGCTCTTTCGTTTCTTGCACATTTTGAAATCATAAATAGAATGCTGCGCGCTCCATCTACAAATGAATTATTGAGTCCTCCAGGTCTCTATTCATATCAATCACTTTCCTATCCATTGCTTCCACTTTTTTTCTGTTTGCTCTGCCTTTACCTCTATGTTATTTATTTTTTGTTCATTCTTTTCCATCGTTTGTTGTATCATTTCTATTTTCCCATGAAGTTTCTGGATGTTACCTTTCATCTCTTCCATTTCCGTCTTCAAATCAATGTGATTTGCCAACATTTTCTCCTGTACCTTGAGCATTGTTTCTTGGATGGATAGCAGGGCTGCTTGCATTGTTTGCATGTTAGCAGAGTTACTCGTCTTATCTGCAGCCAACATCCCCTCTATTGTTTTCTGTCCCGCTGGGGATGCAATGGATACTGATGAACTTGAAATTGCTTTCTTTCCTTTTAAGGTTGTTGTTGTAGTTGTCATATTCTTTATTTTGTTATATACTTCTTCCCACTTTACCATCCACAGCTTACTTCTATCCACTTTCAATATTTCTATATATTAGTTCAGCTAGTGTAGATTACTATCAATTCAGACTACTAATCTAGTATTTACTATATGTTATTAACTTATTATATTTTATAGTAGGAAAGGAGAAGATTAACCTGGTAATACCTAAACTATACTAAAAAAAGTAGGTAGAAAAAATATTAAGTTAGAAAGAGGAGAAAAGGAAAAGAGAGAACAAGTAGGAGAGGGGTAATTCTATAACTAAAGGTTAATATCTCAATGTTTTTAGCTTTAAGTTCTTACTCCTATTTTGTTAATGTCTATAAATTACTCAACTCTATTAATACTCTTACAAATAACAAAATTCTTCAATATCTATCAGTTTGTTTAAATTACTAGTAAGTTATTCCAAAAGATTTATAAAATTCTTAAATATTCAACAATATTGCTTAATTCTCTAATAATAAAAATTCATTAATCACAATAATTCATTAATCATATCAATTCCTTACACTAGACAAGTTAAGCATTCATTATTAATTTAAAAGTTTACTATGTAATTAATTTCTTTTCAGGGCTAATTCCCAATATTAATTAAACCATATATTAATGTCTTACACTGATTATTTTCAATTATCTATCCAAACTAAATAATATATTTCACATTTAAATCATAAGCAAATAATTAAACTAAATCATCAATTCATTTAGCATTTAACAGTAGCAGTTATTAATCATTAATCAAACTCGTTCTCTGATTTTTGTATAATTTTTCAGTTCATGTGTCATTTGCTTTATCACGCTTTATTGCATCAGCTGTCTTTCCTGTCCTTTGGAGTTACGATGGTCGCCTCCTTTTTTAGTCCAGCTCTCTTACTGTGTCTTCTTTCTTCTGATCTTTCCCACACTTATAGCATCCACCACTAGTCCCATTTCCATGATCTTTCCATCCTCCAATCTAGTACTCAAATTCCGTTTAAACACTATTAGGTAACCAAATCCCACCGGCTCTAACATTTGTCTTCGAGCCCTATGCTCTCCCCGCCAGATCGCCGCTTCTCTATTGGACTTCCGCCCCCACTCCGAGACTCATTCTGCTGATCAGCTTTAAACTCTCTCCTCTTTGACAATCACTCTCCGCCTCCACACGATCGCATACAATAGTTAGTTCGATGTCGATACTGCTGTTGCTATTATTCCTTCTTCATTTAGTGTGATTGCTGCGGCTTCGGTCTGCCAATGATGGTCGATCACTCACATGCTGGAGTTTGTGAAGTTTCCCTACGATGTAACAGGCAGTCGTCCTCTGTCCGCTTCCACCTCGGGCTTCTCCACAATTTCATCGATCTCTCCAAGATTTCCGTGCCCCTCAGGGGGGCCTCCAGACGTGCAGATTGGGGACGAAAAGATGGAGCCCGATCTTTTCTCCCCACACCACCACCATGCTGCAACCAGAAGTCTCAGTTAATCATATTTTTAATACTCTCAGAGCCTATCCCAGTCAGTGGGTCAGAGTTGCATTGTGCTATAGTAGGTTACATGTAATCCTTGAGTTACGAATGTAATGGAGCCTGCCAATTATGTTCATAATCCTTGAGTTACGAATGTAATGGAGCCTGCCAATTATGTTCATAAATCAAGAGGATTTTAAGTGAATCTTGTTAAGTGAACGAGCCTCTATCCCTGCTCACTCCTTGCATTCCTTAAACAAATGAGTGGGTTGTTAGGTAGCATATGGGGTGCCTTGGGTGGGGTGCCTCTGCCTGCAGCCTCCCAAGACCTCCCCCACATACCGTGAGATACCCCTTGCTCTGCTTCCCACCACTTGGATCTCCTCCCCACCCATCACTGATTGCTCACTTACCTTTCCAAGATCCCCAGGGCTAAAGAGGTTGGGGTACGGAAAGAGAACTCTAACAGATAATCAGAGTTTGAAGGGACCTTGTAGGTCATCTAGTCCAACCCCCTGCCCAAGCGGGAGACCCTACACCATTTCTGACAAATAGCAGTCCAATCTCTTCTTGAAAGTCTCAAGTGATGGCGCTCCCACAACTTCCAAGGGCAAGCTGTTCCATTGGTTGATTGTTCTCACTGTCAGAAAGTTTCTCCTTATTTCCAGGTTGAATCTCTCCTTGTTCAGTTTCCATCCATTATTCCTTGTCTGGCCTACAGGCGCTTTAGAAAATAGCTTGACCCCTTCCTCCCTGTGGCAGCCCCTCAAATATTGGAAGACCTCTATCATGTCTCCCCTGGTCCTTCTCTTTACTAGACTAGCCAAGCCCAGTTCCTGCAACCGTTCATTGTATGTCTGCTCCATTGCTGGGCCATGTGGCAGAGTTCCAGAAGCAGCTGGTTTTTTTCTGAGATGCTGGAGAAGCCCAAGCCTTCCTTCTTCCCAAGGCATTAGCATACACTGCTAAAGCTTGGGGAGGGAAGTTAGCCTTCTTCGCTTTGGCGCTTCTAAAGCTATAGATATAGGGAAGCTGTGCACTTTAGGCTTTGCACCCTTTGTTGTCAGGATGAAGCCTCATTGGCCGAAATGAAAGCAGCATTTCTTCCTGCTCTTGGTGCAAGCAGCACCTTTGCTTTTGCAAGGAGCCATGCTGCTTCCCTACGCTCACTGGGGAATCCGGATTTAAAGGGCTCTCTGGACAAACAGCTTTTCTAAAGCAGAGGCCAGACTCTGCAGGGAGGGGGATTCCTACATGGGCAAAACAGAAGTGAGTTGCTGCTGGTATTCCCCTTGCACTATTTCTATAATTCCCAACCAAGGGCTTTGTATGCTGTTCTTATAATTGTTACAGTAACCACATTTTCACATTTTTCTTGTGAGAAATTCAGAATGTGAAATATTTTTAAGTAATGGTTCTTATGATTAGTCTCTGAGGATTGTTTGTAAGTATAATTACCAAAAATGAATCAAAATATTGAAACAGCTTTCCATTGTTATGACCAATGATGCCCTACTATAGTTTTGTTATGACTGAAAGTTAAATGTTTTGTCTGGAAAAAAGCCAAACTTTTTCAGTGATAAGTAAAACTTAGTGAAAAAATAGACTGAAATCTAAGTTGCTGTCATACAGGAAAGTTGAAAATTGTTATTTTATGGATGACAGTAAACAGTTATTTCTGTTTTTCCACACTGCAGTTCATGTTGTTAGTCATATAGACATCTTTTCACTAATACTGTATTCTTTTATAGGTGTCTACATCTACTAAGTTATCTAGTAAATGAAATTTATTTTTGAATAGTTGCTTTTAATTCTTTAGGCATCCAGATTGCGTGAAGAAGCTCATAATACAGGAAGTATCCATATCTCTGAAATTTGTACTGAATTAAAAAACTTAAGATCTTTAGTTCGAGTGTGTGAAATTCAAGCAACTTTGCGCGAGCAAAGGTAATTATTTATTGTGGGTGCATTTTCCTGATTTGCTAAATTTTCAGTTATGTTTGCTTGTACAACTTTTATATACATGTAAGAACTACTGGGATGCATTCCCTAGTGCATAGTCTAGGAACTGTTAGAATTTAACACCAGGATGATGCTGACTGAAACAGGCATGATACCTCCCTCCACAGTCATTGAACTACTGAAGGTACCCATGTGTGCTCCAATCTTGAATAAAAAATTAGTCCTTTATGTGTACCATTAAGGTAGGTCAACCATTTCCAGGCCCAATAATTTTATCCTTTTTTAAAGTTAAGAAAGCATATAAACTAGTTGTATTTATCACAGTATAACTGTTACTGAAGAGTCAATTTGGTATCTCGGGTGCTAATTGTATTTTTTTTTATAGGATACTCTTTTTGAGACAACAAATTAAAGAACTTGAAAAACTAAAGAATCAGAATTCCTTCATGGTGTGAAACATATGCGTTTTGAATACAAGTCTGTAAAACATGTTGCCCAGTCTTAACTTTTTTGAGCTGCATTTGAGAAGACTGGACCATTGAGTTGGGCAATACAAAATAACATGGGAAAGGAGAAAGGAAGGAAAGTCAGTCAGGAGAAAAATACAAGGATTTGTAAAACTCTTGAAATGTAGATTTCTTGTAGATGTATTCTTCATGTTGTAAATATGTTTTGTAGAGTGAAGCCATGGGAAGCCATGTGTATCAGAGTTTAGACATCCAAAAGTAATCAATGCTAAGATGGCTAAATATCTAGCCTTTTACATGTAAAACTGTTTGCAAAATTAGTTCTCTTTTTTTAGTTTATCATTCAGAAATCTTTCATTTCCTGAAATTCAGTGCAAGCACCAAATGACCTGTGTCTCAAAAGTTTGAAACAGTTATGGTAATATAAAAAATATCATGAAATAACTGTTTCCATGCTTGCACCTGATCAAGAATAGTGCTTTTCCATTTGTTTTACAGAGCAGTGTGTTTCATTTTCCTGATTCCTGATTCTGATTTTATCAGTTTTTTTAATTCTTCTAATTTCTTCCTTTCATAAGGCACTGTTGCTATGGCATTTTTCTATAAAGTTTTCATTCCTGTGTACAGTAGCTTAAAATTGCAGTGATTGAGTATAACTTACTTGTTTGTATAAATTATTGAAATGTATTTCCACTTGCATCCTGAAAGAATGGACTGATACTACTACTGGGCACATGTGTTTGGAAGTACTTCCCTTTCTCAGCTTTATAAGAAAATAGCCCAATATCAACATGGTTGTGGGAGGGAAAAGAAGGAAAAAGCTAGTCAGATGTGAATTGTATCTGTTGTAATAAACATGTTTTAAAACAAAAACCACTGGTTTTCTTTTCCTTTGGTTGATAACATATTACAATTTGGACTGTTTGGGGACTCTTCATCAAAGCTATTCTTGTTGAATACTTTTGTACTAAATTAAAAATAAGTTCTCAAGGAAGGTTTTGTTTTTAAAAAATGTAATTGTATATAAACTATTTAATGTCATTCAACAAGGATGAGTGACACCTCTCAACAGTTGTCATATGTTAACTCCTGGTTTTTAACCTGTCTTGCTATTATGACTTCATTTCAAAGGATGGTTGTGTTGTAGCTAATTGTTCAAGCGTGGTGCTGACCACTGTTCTTAGCCATCACAAAATGCTGACTTTGTGTAATTGAAGTGTCTCACTGTTTGAAAATGGTGAGAAAGCTCAGCTTTGTATATTTTTTCCTAAAATATATTTTTTAAAAAAAAACTTGCTAGTACAAAATTATTTTCTTTTTGTAAAAAAGTTAATAACCATTGTTTTAGTCTTCATACATTCCTAAAGTCTGTCTTTTTAGAAATTTAGGTCATGCTGAAAAATGGCCAACTTACAAACCAGTTGTGCCACTGTTTTTTTGTTTTTTAACATTTTATTAAACATAACATTAGAAAACATTGAACGTGGTGGAGTCATTTTGACATAACATTTGGTCACCATTCTAGTGAAATATAATAGAATATAGATCTTATATACATTTGTATGTATGTATGTATGTATGTATGTATGTATGTATGTATGTATATATATATTTGTTTTCTAAGGTTTTCGTGGGTATTCGTATGTGGATCTTTGGTTATTCGGGTTTTCTCCCGCGTAAAATTGGAAGTATCTAGGCAACGTTTCGATGAAGTCTTGTTCATCATCTTCAGGCTTGTGTGCGGCTTTGTGCTTCTCAGAGTAATGTGAGCTTGCAGCTGCTTCTTCCTTTTAACTGCTAGTGGGGGTGTGACTTGATTGGGTGGGGGCTTGGCTGTGTTCTGATTGGGTGGGGGTGTGTTCTCATTGGTTGGGGGTTTGGCTGTGTTCTGACTGGTTGGGGAGTTGGCTGTGTTCTGATTGGCTGGGGGTGTGTTCTGTTCAGGTGGGGGCTTGGTTGTGCTCAGGTTAGTCTTAGTTGCTGGGGGATTTGAGCTGGTGAGCTGTGATC